AATTTGCAAGCTTAGAGCGATTGATCGTATCGAATCAGACATAGTGTGAAACCGTTCTAATGCACTGCATGCGAATCCCAATGTTTTCGAAGCAGAAGTTTGAAGAAGTATTCGTTTCAGCCAAATGACGTCCACTGCTGGATAAAGGCCTCCCTCAAGGTTTTCCACAATTAGGGTTTCTGATTTCTCGACCTATTTTTTTTCTCGAGTTTCGGGAATTCTCGAGGCCAAAGTCTCGAGTTTTCTCGGGTCTCGAGTCTTTTAATTAAAACTGTTGAAATCGGTTGGAATTTAATAAAAACACAGGTTTTTTAATCTAATATACCTACTTTTATTGCACAAAAATCAATATTAGAGTTTAGTACCACTTATTTTGGTAAGGAAAGAAACAAAACATAAAATCTTCATTCATAATTAATATTAACTAATAATCACAACAAAAGTCATGAAGTCGCGTGTACTTTAAGGATAAATAACAATAATAACAATAAAAATCTGGAGCTACACTTGTTTCACTTGTTTTCTAAAAACACAAGTCCAAATAGCAAACCCAAAATTACGATAAATAGTTTTTTTTTTGTAAACAAAAAAATATTTTTAATAAATTTCTTTTTTTTTATGCATAACTAGGCAGTTATTTGACCACAATCGCACCTGATGTTAAGTGGAAAAGATAACGACTTGAATAAACTTTACGAGGAGGCACGAGTACCTAACCTAACACAGTTAACAAATTTTTCAGTCTTTAAATCAGTCAGAATTAAACATACTTAATAAATAGGTATAGCAACTCGTTGGTGAACATTATTACCACGTTATTACTTAGTTTCGATTGAAAATGAAATATTTTATTCAGCGACACAAAACAGCTTCAAAAATATGAAACAAAAGTAAAACTAAATAGAGTAGGTAATGTTGATAAATTGAGATCATTACTTGCATTGCAAATCAAATCAGTTAAAAAAAGAGAAATTAGGCCAGTCTAAAAGCAACGTTAACCTATAAAATAATTAAAACCTTACTTTTGTCTTAGAAAATAGGCTTTCAAGAATATTAAAGCTTCAAATTGGAAACTCGAGAATTCTCGAGCTCCGGTAATTTTTATCTCGTCCCGAATGAAGCAAAATTTCTCGAGTTTTCTCAAGTTCGAGAAAACTCGAGCAGAAACCCTATCCACAATGAACGGTCCAGGCTCCTCTCGTGACCTTTACCAGAACGTCGGTCCACCTAGTGGGAAGCCTGCCCACGCTACGTCTTCCAGCCCGTGGTCGCCACTCGAGAACTTTTCCGCCCCAACGGCCATCGTCTCTACGAGCTATGTGCCCCGCCCACTGCCACTTTAGCAATTCTGCGAGCTATGTCGGCCACTTTGGTTGGTTCTCCTGCGGATCTCCTCATTTCTGATTCGATCACGAAGATAATTGAATTTAGCTAGTCACCTAACGTTCATTATTATCAACACATTCATTAATAGTTGAGTTTGGACCACACCCCAGATACTACAAGTATCACACAAGCGCGAAGTTCGTTCACCCCGCGTCTATTAACGTTCTGCGAGTACCTTATAGTTATACACCAAATTACATAGCCACTTTTCTCTCAAGATATCCACTTAATTTTTTTGTTTTGATGGCCACTTCCTCTTATCTGGTAGGTAGTTTTTATAGCAGGTCAAATTATACACCGGCTTAGATAGCCACTGATTTCTTTCTGGAGATATCTACTTGAGTTCAAGATAGGTAGCNTTTTTTGCGACATGGGTGTCTTTAAAGTTAGTGACAGACAGAAAGAATTATGGCAGAAAAAAAATAAAAATGACTTTTGGTCGCATATACGACCCAGATTATGGGAAAAATCCGAAATGTCAAAAAATCAAGATGGCGGCGGCGTGGGCGGCCATTTTGTAAAAAGTTGAAAATTTCGAAAATTTGGAATTCATTTTTCGAGTAGTTGGCAACACTTTGGAAAGTCGAGTTGTATGAGGCGATTGTGTGTCTTGTCGAGAGGTTTCGCTTGGGTGAATAAATTTCTCCAGTGTTGCCATACTTTAGGAGATTTGGTCCAAAAATGTTGAAAGTAGAAATAACGACTTCCGGTCAAAAATTTGGATAACGCCTTCTGCAAAGGGGTCGTGCAAATGACATTTGACCATTTTCATCTCGATCACCTGGCAACACTGGGAGCTACGCGGAAAAGTATTTTTTTCGACATGGGTGTCTTTAAAGTTAAGGAGGGACAGAAGGAGATATGGGAGGAAAAGTCTAAAAATGGGGTTTGGTCGGTTATACGACCCAGACTATGGGAAAAATCCGAAATGTCAGAAATTCAAGATGGCGGCTGAGCGGGCGGCCATTTTGTAAAAATTTTCAGTTTTCTGATTTTTCAAATGCGTTTCTCGGGTAGTTGGCAACATTTGGGAAAGTCGAGTAGTATGGGCCGATTACGTAGTTTGTCAAGGAGTATCGTTTGGGAAAACAAAAATTTCCAGTGTTGCCATACTTTGGAAGATTTGGTCAAAAAATGTAAAAAATGGAAATAACGACTTCCAGTCAGAAATTTGGATGACGCCTCCTGCAAATAGGTCAAACTAATGATATTTGACCATTTTTAGCTCGATGACCTGGCAACACTGGGAGTTACGGAAACTCAAAATTTTGGGACATGGGTGGTTTTAAGGAATTGTTTTACGGTATTGGGTTAAGTTAGAAAAAAAGTAAAAATGGGGTTCGGCGCGGAAAATGGTCCAGATTAAGGAAAAAATGCAAAATTTTGGAAATCCAAGATGGCCGCCAAGCGTTCACCCGTTTTCCTAAAGGGACTAAATTCTCCATACAAATTGTATGCAGGGGGGCTCAGCTAACGTAGAAAAAGGCGAGGCCGAAGGCCGAGCGATAGTTTAAAGCCCAAGAGTCGCCATAGATTTATTTTTAATGCGTCAAAAAAGGACTAGAGCCCAGTGACAGACAGAAAGGCGAGGCCGAAGGCCGAGCGATGGTTCAAATCCCGACAGTCGCCATAGATTTACTTGTGTTGCGTTAAAAAAGAAAAAGAGCCTTGCGACAAACGATATACGCCCCGTGTAATTTTTGCGAGGCCGAAGGCCGAGCTCCGAATGCGAGGCCGCAGGCCGAGCGCCGCGTAGGGCGAAGCCCGGAGCGGCCAGCATCGCAGATCTAGCTTTTGTAGCCCGCGTAGCGGGCGACCAAAGCTAGTCAGTTTAAATAAGGCTATGAGCGGTGCATTCTGTGCATTATGATTAAAATCCAATACCTAGTAGCTGAAATTACTTGTTTGCTTACTGCATATTTGTTTATTATGTTGAAAATTGACTGGTGAATTCAAAATCTATGTGAGAGTAGTAAAAAGCCTATAAAAAGTTATATTATTAGACTAGTCATGTCAAGTACCCTCATTCATTTCTAGAAGTCCGAGGCGAAAAGTAGCACAGCATAACATAAACGGCCATTACAAAAAAAAACTATTACAAAAAAGTTAAACCGGGAACGACCACTGCTTAAAATGATATTTCATACTAAATATCAATTTAAACCAGAGTATTTTCGTAATGAGGGGAAGCAAGTCCAGATTTGTCATTGTTTTTGGACCTTTACCTAAAGTACTATCTTTAAAAATACAGTGGGAATAATATCCCCACTGCCTTTGATTTTAGCCTTACAACCACTGTAATTTCCANGTAGCTTGCTAAAATAAAGACCAACACAGGCAATGGCACGGACTTTGAGCTAATAAATTAAGTTTTTATTATATTTTTTACATATCAATGAGAAATTTAAATTGAAAATTGTCTATGCCCTAGATTCTAGATAGTTATTTAGAATTAGAAAGTTGCAAAACCTAGACGAGCTGATTGACATCGCTTTTTGTAAAAGTATTGTCTGACAGTCTAGCCGTAGAACGTTAGTATTTTACTTACAAGTTTATTTTTATTTACTTTCATCTTTCCACAGAAGAGTCACCATCTTTTCTGCTTTGACCTCAAATATTCCCAACTGATTTAAGATAGTAACAAACTACGTATTATGGAGACTTCATGAGATCTGTAAGCTATTGGGTAGCCAATTTTCTATCATTTCGGTTATAATGACTGAACTACTGAAGTCACTACAACCGTGGTACAAAAAATGCGTCAGTCTTCACAAGCCGTCATAGGCCGATAGGCGTCTATTTTTTTATGAATAACAAGGCAGGATTGCAATCGCACCTAGTGTTAAGTGAGATGCAGTATAGGATTCTATCATTGATGAACGAAGACGTCGCACCCTTCTAAGCATAAATATTTTCCTGCAAAATTAGGCCCAGAACAGATGTTAAAACGTAACTGCAACGAAACTGCAACTGCTAGTTACTTTTGAGTTGCATCTAAGTTTCTGCCATAGCGTCCGTTGAGAGACCACACATGACGCGACCAATTTGAAACTTTCAGTTTCAGTTTCAATCATAAGAATCATCAGAAAGTTGCAGTTTCGTTGCAGTTGCGTTTCACCGTCTGTTCTGTGTGGGCCTAAGTCCCCAACTCGGAACAAATCCCCCTTAGGAATCGAACTCACGACCACCGTGAGAATCCCAATTGACGGTGGCTAATGTAATCACTTCTTGCTCAATAGTCGACTGTCAACATTTTTTTACTCCGACCACCGTTAGCGCCAGACAGTGTCATTATCAAACTGATTCACGAACGCAACGAGTCATCGATGTAGAATTCATATTATGTCGATATCCAAAGACCCAAACCGGTCCTGGTATGCACTAATCGCTTTGGAACTGGTCTATGTTATCTTTTGAGTATCAGTTTTTGTATTTCCTTATGATTGTGATTTTTAGTTATTGTTTAGTAAACTTTACTTGAAATAAATGAAAGTACTGTAATACAGTATTCTGTGCGTTGTTGCAAAGGTAGCACGGACGTTATTCTAGTCAAAGATATTTTCTAGCAATTTTTTTCTGTAGTGAATTCATATGAGTGAAGGACGTCTCCAATAGTTTGTGTTGCAATATTGAAACATTATACGGCGATTTTAAAGTTAATTCTGTTTCGACCTTAGGATGGAGTTCTTGAAGTTATCATTTAAATATTTTTCTTTCCAGGTGTGAAAGATGAGTCAAAAGGCGAGTCGGAAGAGTGCGGTCAATGAAGAAAAAGAAAAGGTTGGTACTGAATTAAATAGTTCTTTTGATAGCCTCCAGTAATTGTAATCAAAAAGTACATCAGTAGCCCCAAAGTAAACAGCTTAACTATAGCTAGATCACAGATAAACATAGGCGACCTACCTATGTTACAACTTACAAGTACCCAAATATATTAAAAAGTCCATATCTTCAAGTATTCTCATCATCACCCTAAGATTCACTCACAGAAAGATTTGCAGTTGTGGTCTATTGCATTACATAACAATTCTCAAAGTAAACCGACCTCTTTATTTTTTGTCGCAGAATACAGACACACCGGTGAAAGAAATGAAAAAGAAAATGGCGGCCAACGCCGAAAAGGAGAAGCAAGCAGCGGAGAAACTGGCCGAGAAACCATCAGAGAAACACGATAAGAAAGAGAAGGCTGCTGAAAAACCTGATAAATCGGATAAATCCGACAAACCTGCCGAAAAACCGGAGAAGTCCACGGAAAAAGTAGAGAAGAGTGCTGAGAAGAACGATAAAGTGGATAAAAAAGCGGAGAAATCAGATAAGAAGGAGAAACAACCGGAGAAGAAGGCTGACCCTCCAGCGGAGAAGAAGGAAGAGAAGGAACCTAAAGATGATAAGGGCAAGGTAAGAATTTGATTAGATTCAATAAACAATGTCTAGTCGTTAGTTAAAATAAGGCTTTAAGTAGTTATTGCTATTTATAACAAGACATACACTGGAAGACAATCAATATTTACAACGTATTTAACTTAATCTAAGTGCTGCCTTAATTATAGGTTGCCACGGCATGAAATAGTGGACTTATACATAAACTGTGTCTACACTTAAAGAAAAGAGTTTCTTCAGCGAGTACTATTTAGCTGGAATAACATTTCGCCAGCGACTCGATGCGAAGCTGTTTAGGATTTTGCGCTTAAATGAAGGTAGCTTGTCCCGAAAGACATCTAGATCAAGATCGAGGTTCCTTGTTAGACTGTTAAACTGTCTTTGCTATGAAACTCAAGAAATAAATAATTGACTTTTGATGATATAGGTCTCCTTTTCCGTACAAAATCTATGATAGAGTCGCGTTTTACATCTCGCAAAAAGTATGTCATAGTGATTTCAAATACTCTATCCGTATTTCTAGAAGCCCGAGCGAGCCAAAAATTAGCATAACACAAACGGACATAACAAGATTTGTCCTTGTTTTCGACCTTAACCCAAGCGAATAAGTTTAAAAAATATGGTGGGATATTCCCGCTAATATGGTAATAACAATATTCCCGCTAATATGGCGAGAACAATATTCCCACTAATATGGTGGGACATTAGATTTTCGCCTCAAAACTACCTTTATTTCCAGCCAGAGAAACCCGAGCCGAAAAAGTCCGACGCGAAGCCGAAACAGAACGGTTCCAGCTTGAACGGCTCCACACACCCGGACGAGAATGGAACGGTGAGTCCGGACGACGACTCGGACGAGCTGGCGGACGAGATGTTCCCGGAACTGGCCTACGACGACGCGTCCGACCCGGAGTTTGAGCCGCCGGACGCGACCGGACGCAGCTACACCAGGAGATCGCAGGTACCGAGCGTAGCTGGGTGCGTGGACATTGCGGTTTTTTACTCTAGTAAAAAAATACTAGTAAAATGTTTCATGTACAGTCACGGAATGAAAAGGTTCGTCAGTTTTCAAATTGATTCCTTCAACGAATCGCGAGCACATAATATATTATTGAAACTATGTTACAGAATAATCTCGAGTTAGAGAAAATAATCTTTAACTGTTCGTCAGTAAAGTTCAAAATTATTCAGATCAAAGTTGTTTGACGATTTATCTTGTCAAGAAGATTATTATGAGTGATAAACTAAAACCTTCTTATTGATTCAACCTGCCATTATTATTTCTATTAAATAAAAAAAAATCTATTGTCAATTGGTCAATGTCATCATTGCATTGCACTGATGAGATAGAAAAATAAACAAGCAAAACCTTATTCGTTTGCAAACGTCATATTTATTTAAATGTTAGCAGCACTGTTTCTTGCACTGCTATGTTGGCAGGTTTGACTCTTACAGTACCTAGTGCAAGCGAAAACCGACACTAAGGTGACGAACCTTTTCATTCCGCGACTGTACCATCAAAATCGACACATGATCACTTTATAAAAACTCGTTTGCACGACATCTCGTTCATTACTGTTCTCAGTCTTGCCCATTATTAAATACAAACAAAGCATTTTGCTGAAATATAAACCATACAACAATATGCAACAAAAATTTTACACTTGAATTGAGAAACTCCTCCTTTTTTGGGGTCGTTTAAAAACCCTGTTTGAAAATGGTGACTCTACATCTTTTTGTTGTATGGGACTAAAGTGGAAAGCTCAAAACTGGAAAAGTTTTTATGGCATTTCATATAAACAATGATTGTTCCACTTTTACCAAATCATTTTTATGGTTACTATGAGTACTTCAAACTCTTTGTTCCATCTAAATAATTCAATTCATCATCTTGTATTTATGGATTTTGCTCCATATTTGAATGATAGATAATTATTATGAGTTGACCCTGAGATAACCCCAAAAATAATTTAAAACCATCAAATTAATATCGCAATGTCCACCGAAGCCCGAGTTACTCCCGGTTATGTTGTGTGGGGCGGCATAAGGTTCAGGTCATCGTCATAATACGTCTTATGTATCAGAACTTCGTCTAAATTAGAATTTAAATCTTTATCAATAAATCAATAGGGATGTTTCCTGAGTAAAAAAGCAAAAAAATTAATTAGTCCGTCAGTTAACTTATCAAAAAATACTCGACACTTTTCACTTTTTCAAACTAATGAAAATTTAAAGAGATAAAGCGCACCAAAGTTCAAAAGAAAAGGCTCGTGACGTCAATGAGTGCTTAAGAGTGCAGCACTTTGTGACGTCACGCGTAACTTCAATGTCCAATAACTTTGTAATTATTTGTTTGATTGACAATAAAAAAATACGTGTCCAATATTTTTTTATATTAAAATAGACGGACAAAAAAATTTTTTTTAGGAAACTAGCCTATTCAAAGCACTATTAGATGATTTTCTCATTACCATTCTATAACAAAGGATGAAATAAGGATATGGATGAAATTCTGATACATACTAAAACCCAGTGTGTGTTGGCGTGAATCGATTTGTTAGTAACAAAGATAATATTTCAGGTGATGAAGGATTGAGGGAATTTTTAAATACTTTTCTCTTTAATGCCACAATTTGTGGTTATTTATGTGCAAAAATGTTGTTTTTGATTTCATATTGGTGTTGGATATGCATGATTGGAATGTGAATTGGTTTGGTAGATTCTTTTGACATTTTACATTGACATCAAAACTAATCTGTTGTATGGGAATTTCTGTTTCAATTAAATTACTTATTTAATTTTCAACTTACAACAATAAAGAAACGACAGAAACAGAAGTTCCCGAAGTCAATTTGATATTTACAATTCATCATTTCAACAAGTATTCATGGATCTTTACATATTTTTTCGATCTTATTTTTTATGGCAAACTGGGGTTTGTGGTCTCTAAACTATAATTTAAAGTTTGAAACAGAAACTGCTCAAAAAGGTAGACTCTCGTATTCTCAATATGAAAATGTTTGGTGCAGTTTGTCATACCCTAGATTCTACAATTTTCCGCGCACGTATAGATCGTTCAACGAAAGTTGAGGCGAACACATACTAACACTGATGTGATATCTGAATACAGAATACACAAATCAGTCAGAATACGCAAAACGTCGAAGCAGATAACATAATACAGATATAGTCAGCGTCAAATAGTTCCTGACACACAAAGTGGCCAATATGTTGATAACACAACCTGATTCCGATTGAAACAAAGACGTGTTGCGAACTTTTTGGCTACTTTTAGGTGTCACAAACTATTTAATGCTGACTGACTATAAATCTTTGCTTGTGTTGATGGCCTCAACTCTCGTTGCGCGACCTAGGCTAGTTTCCTAAAAAAATTTTTTTAGTCCGTCATTATTAATATCAAAAAATATTGGACACATATATTTTTATTTGTCAATCTAACAAATAATTACATAGTTATGGTGCGTTGAAGTTCCGCACGACGTCACAACGTGCGGCACTTTTATGCACGCATTGACGTCACGGGCCTATTCTTATGAACTTTGGCGCGCTTTATCTCTTTAAATTTTCATTAGTTTGAAAAAGTGAAAAATACGTGTAGAGTATTTTTTGATAAGTTAACTGACGGACTAATTAAAACTCTTGCTTTTTGACCCAGGAAACATCCCTATTAAGCCCGTTGCTATTATTGACAGCTATGTACAAAAGTCTATCGATTATTTAAATATACGTATGTAAAGATCCATGTAAACACCATATGAATGATCCATTATAATTACTACTAACAATTAACTCGGTTTCTTGGGTAAGGCGAAGTCCGCGCGAACGCCCGAGACGCCGCGGCCAGCCTCCGACAAGACGACCGATGCCGCGGACGATGTAAGTCGGATTTTGAGCTCTATACCCTCACTATTGTGGCTTTATTCCTTTGAAATCATGTATTTCCTCCGCCATTTTCCGCAGTTTGGCACCTCACGACACATCATTTTACCGAAGTCAGCCCTATAGCTTCGGCGCAGTGCCGATCACTGACGTTTGTCAACAAAATGGTGCTTGACTCTTGAGACAGGCTAAATTACACCATATTGTTAATGACATTGAGCATACATTTTTTTAAATACCTTCGCGAAGTAAAACTTCTGTACGTAGTACTTATTATTATTCTGTGCTATTATTGACAGCTATGTGCAAAAGTCTATCAATTATTTAAATATACGTATGTAAAGATCCATGTAAAGACCATATGAATGATCCATTATAATTACTACTAACAATTAACTCGGTTTCTTGGGTAAGGCGAAGTCCGCGCGAACGCCTGAGACGCCGCGGCCAGCCTCCGACAAGACGACCGATGCCGCGGACGATGTAAGTCGGATTTTGAGCTCTATACCCTCACTATTGTGGCTTTATTCCTTTGGCAAACTTTAGTTTAAAGTCGACATTATATGGGGGTATTTATGCTGCAATAGATGCTATAGGTAGGTATTAAGTGCTATCGCACTTACTAACTCAAGTTAGTGCCTGAGTTATGTGTGTGTTTTTGTAACGCCAAATGTCAGCGAAACTTCCTTGACTTCCTTCACATGTATATGCTCTAAGCTGTCACGTCATAATGTGCCATATCATCCCTCCCGTGCCGCTTCCATACCTCAGTTACTGACGCCCGTATTCACAAACGATGCTTGCTTAAGTGAAGCAGCAAGTCGAACGCACAGCGTTGAATAGAGCTGTGGTTGGCTCGTGTGTCACCCTGTGCGGCCACGCGCACTGTGAGACCTCATAGTGACGTTTGTTAATACGGGCGTGATTGATTTTAACGCTGAATCTATAGCATCTATTGCAGCAAAAATACTCCCATACTGTGTCGTCTTTACACTGAAGTTTGACCAATGTTTTGAAATGACAATGACACTCAAGTAAGGTTTAAGCCTGAATGTCATATGCTGTGTAAAATTAGATGTAAACGACTTTGTCCTAGGAATAAAGCTATAATTGACTAGGTATAGCGGCGTCTTTGTTCCCCAAAAATATACAAAAAACCTCATTGCTAAATGTTGTACGAAACCGCGCGATTTTTTTTTCTATAGACTGAGAATGTGGAAATCTAAGGTAATATTAAATTCTTATTGTTATTGTCTGTATGAGACATAAATTACAAAACTTTCATACAAATAAGAACTGTAGTAATCATATTACATAACTAGGTAGGTGGTTGGATACAATTGTAGACAATTTCACATTTATTGAATGATTGCTCTCTCGTGTGTCTACGATCAGAGACTAGCTTGGTGTTGACATACATTTTAGACCTTCGACTTGTGACATAGTTTTTGTATGTCTATTTTAATATTTTTGCTAGCATTATAATTGCAAAAATAAGAGTACTTGAACATAATCATATGTGTAATATTATGTATTTGTTTTTGATTCTATATCATTGGATCAGCTAGTCTCTTCTAGCAGCTAAAACATTGGTTCCCAAAGTGGGGGCGCGGGCCATCTGTGTACTTAAGTATAAAAAACCTGCGACCGCTGAGAGAATGCGTTTCAGACTGCTCGACACGGCCAATAAATAAGATTGACTGGAGGAGGGGGGGCGCGGAATTTTTTGTATGGTCGAAAGGGGGTGCGTCTCAAAAAAGTTTGGGAACCAATGAGCTCCAAAGAGGCTGAAAATGGTGACTGAGTTTCTTCCGCCACTTCTTCTCAGCACCAGCCCATATGTTGTCCCGAAGTGGTGGTAGGGCAATCTACTTGTAACGTGTATAAGCGCCTTTGAAAGACCTAATTCTGAATAAATTATTTGATTTGATTTGAGCTACTTTTTCCTCGGTTCGGTTAACGGTTTTATAGTTAACTAGCTTTCCGCCCGCGTCTTCGCCCGCGTGGAATTTTGTCTGTCACAGAAAAACTTTATCGCGCGTGTCCCTGTTTCAAAAACTGGGATAAAAACTATCCTATGTCCTTTCCCGGGACTCAAACTATCTCTATGCCAAAATTCATCAAAATCGGTTCAGTGGTTTAGGCGTGAAAGCAAGACAGACAGAGTTACTATCGCTTTTATGATATTAGTATAGATCGTATAGATTCCCAAAAAACAGCTTTCTTTAAAATCTCGGTCAGTCTTCTACCGTTTTGAATAAGATAATTTCTCTAGATTTCCACATTCACCCACGTTTTGTCATGTGCATGTTGTGCAAACATTAACATTTAACAAAACACCTGATCATAGTTACACGCGTTACTCACACAGTATGCAATTTAAATACTATTCTACTAACGGCATTGACCCATTTTCTAAGGCACTTATTTTCGCCAAGACATAAGCATGTTAAGTAATATGTCTAAAAAATAAAAATGAATAAGACTTTTCTAGTATTTACATCTCTAGTAAATATAAAACAAATAAAACAAAAGCCGCTTAGATCTTTTAAACTACGCAACGGATTTTAATGCGGTTTTCATCAACAGATAGAGTGATTCAAGAGAAAAGTTATTACATTTGTCGGTATGCATGAGAGAATGTTTGTTTCTTTATTTCAAAGAAACACATTCTCTCATGCATAGATTGGTAATAAAACAAATTCAATGTTTGCTAGCGTCACCGAAACTCTGATATTCTATTTTAGACTACTTTTTTGACTAATTTTACAAGCTTAATATTGACTTTAACTTTCTGATCTAATACTACATGTCCTGTTCATTTTCCTACATCATATCATCTGCATGCACACTAACTATATGTTTGTCTGTTCGCTTACAAACCTTTGACCACGTACCCCAAATATTAATCTCCGCCATACAATTCCAGCAGTCGAAGGTGCTAAAACTGAAAGAGGATGCGCCCACCGCCTCAGACCGCAAGTTACGATCGTCTGATTCTCCAAAACCGCAAGACAAAAAGTCACAGGACAAGGAAAAACCACAAGAAAAGGAAAAAGAACAAGCAAAAAACGCACTAGAAACGCAGAAGGTGCAAGAAACAAAAGACGGCAAGCAAGAGAGCGTCAAAAACCAAGAAGAAAAAGAAAATGGGGATAAGACAGAGAAGATCGAAGTCGATGTTGTTATCGAGATTGAAGGAGATGGTGAGTATGATTCTGTTTTGGATTTATTAAGATAGGACCCCCACAAAGTGGACCGACGACATCATAAAGATGGATGGCGCTGGACGCAGGCCGCTACCAACAGGTCAGCATGGTTCAGCAGTGGACATTCTGTGACTGAAATGATGATGATGAATGATAGGACGTAGGTTCTTACGCAGTTTAATCCTCACACTGATGTAACATTTGAATACAGAACACACACAACACATTACAAATTCAAGTTTAAATGTAGAATACACTAGCTACCTCACTCTTGCTAAATGTGTGTAAGCGAGACAGTAAGCATTTGTCAGTCAAATTACGCGGCGAGCGTATACAGATACAAATATTTGCTTGTGTTGATCGCTTCAACTCTCACTCACTCGAGCGCAACCGTTCGATCACCGTCCGTCCTCTAATGGTCTATTGTGGTGATCTCACTCTTAACACAAGCATTTAGAAGTACGCTAAGTCCTCCATTTGCCTCTGGAACTCAGAGTCATGCAGCAAAAGAGACTAAATGACCAGATCATGATGATGATGATGAATTTGTAATGCACAGATTACTCTTAAAAAAAGTTACGCCCATTACGACCACGCAAAGTAGCAGAAAGGCGCTGTATGCAGGCCGCCACCAACTGGTCAATTTGGAAATCATTTGGGGAGGGCTATGTTCAGCAGTGGACGTCCTGTGGCTGAAATGATGATGATGATGATGCACATGATTCTTGTTTAAATCACGATACGTAAAATTAGGCTACGGATACGCCAACGATATGTTGTAGTGTGACCCGCCATGTCCGCAGATGAGCCGCGCAAGACCGACACCAACTATTCCAAGAGTCGCGTCAAGGTGTCGCCCTACCGCCGCAGTTTGAGGGCAGACCACACGGCGACTTCTATGCTGGCCAACTACACAGGTCAGGACTATTCCCACCTCTCGTTCCCACCGCTGCAACTCCTGTGTAGCCAGGATCTACAGCTTGACCGCCACAAAAACCCAACCAATGAAGGTCAAGTTTGTCCCGGGGGAAAGTTAAACTGTCATTGGACCCGCAACGAAATTAATCAGAAGAACATAGGAGGAGTTCGAAATTAAGGTTCGACTTCCCTCCAACTATACAGGTCAGTGGTCACTATACAGGGAAGTGCACACTATACAGACTACAGGGCAGCGGCCAACTACACAGATCAGTGCGCACTACAGAGCAGCGGTCAATTACACAGGTCAGTGCTCGCAACATAGGGCAGCGCTCACTGCATAGGGCAGCGCTCTCTACACAAAGCAATTTTTACTACACACGGCAGCGCTCACTATACAAGGCAGTTTTCACTGCACAGGGCAGCGCTCACTACACAGGGCAGTACAAACTACATAGAGAAACGCTCACTACACAGGGCAGCGCGCTCACAGACACCCAACTACTCCAAGAGTCGCGCCAAGGTGTCGCCCTACCGCCGCAGCTTGAGGGCAGACCACACGGCGACCTCCATGCTGGCCAACTACACAGGTCAGTGCTCTACACAGGGCAGTGCACACTATACAGGGCAGCGGCCAAAGACAGGTCAGTGCCAACTACACAGGTCAGAGCTCAAGGACACCAACTACTCCAAGAGCCGGGTCAAGGTGTCGCCACACACATACGACCGTCCTTTCATGCTAGCCAACTACACAGAGCAGCGCTCGCTAAATAGGGCAGTGCATTCTAAACAGGGCAGTGCTCACTCAACTGGACAGTGTACTCTACACAGGGCAACGCTCACTAAACAGGGCAGTGCACTCTAAACAGGGCAGTGCACTCTAAACAGGGCAGTGCACTCTAAACAGGGCAGTGCTCAACTCAACTGGACAGTGCACTCTACACAGGGCAGCGCTCACTAAACAGGGCAGCCCTCACTGTATTGTACATTTATTTCATTACAATTCTTATCTTTTCTGATGTACTGTAAAGTGTGTTTAATTCATCTAACGTCTGTTTTCTCTCTCCAGGAAACAACACAACAATGGAGATGGACATCACGGAATCTTCCTTCGTGTCCCACGAGGAAGGTTCCTTAGACGACAGCTCGTATCTGTCAGGGTTACGAAGCATCCGCGGCCGCCGCTCCTACAAGCCGCTTAAAGAGATGACGCTCCGGCACGTCACAGCCAACCGCAGCGCTAACAAGTCCGCGGCCAATGTGTCTGGTGAGTCCATTACTGAAGCATCCTTCGGGCAATACCACGAGGAGGGCCTCCTAGACCACAGCTAAAGCCCGGTCTGTGAGCACGTAGAATTTTGTCTAATGACCCTTAGCTACCCATCTTTATCGCTCGCGCGTAATTATATTGCTGTCGTGACTGTGCGACTGGCACCCGCAGTGAGTGTGCGAGCGCGACAGCAACATAATTACGCGCGAGCGATAAGGATGGGTAGCTTGGGGTCATTGGACAAAATTCTACGTGCTCACATACCGGGCTTTAGTATCTATCAGGGCGACAAATTATGGCCGCCACTCTTACAAGCACACAAGTCAGCTGCTAATGTGTCTGATGAGACAATTACTGAGTCTTCCTTCGTCGTATATGATGAGGGTTCCCACAAGTCTGGTGAGTTTGTGTGACGCGCCACTACAGACTAGTGATAGTCGTCATTCAACAGATGGCGCTGGCACCTGCATTACTATGGCGCGGTGGTGTGCGCCTACGAAACCTGCATCGCGGTATCAAAGTTTTTTGCCCTGACTAGTATAAATAGAAAACCGAGTAAGTAAATAATTGGACCATGGTCCCCGAGCACATCAGCTTAAAAAGGAAGCAACACTTTAGCTGCCTTATGTGGTTGATCATCAAATCACACAAGTCCATTACCGAGTCTTTCTGACAACTCGTCGTACCTGTCTAATGGGTTGCTATTGTACAATAGCAACGTGACTGCCAAAAATGTATGGAAACTAGCGCCATCTATAGTTGAACGCGGCGCTGTCATTGGTTGTACAACTAGCAACTGGTGGCCAAGCTTCGTATTACGCATACGCGGTGCCAACGAGTCTGCTGCTACTAATTTCTCTGGTGAGTCCATTACCGAGTCATCGTCCTTCGTCTCTCACGAGGAAGGTTCCTTAGACGACAGCTCGTATCTGTCAGGGTTACGAAGCATCCGCGGCCGCCGCTCCTACAAGCCGCTTAAAGAGATGACGCTCCGCCACGTCACAGCCAACCGCAGCGCTAACAAGTCAGCAGCTAATGTGTCTGGTGAGTCCCTTACTGAAGCATCCTTCGTGTTATTCTACGAGGAGAGCCTCCTAGACGACAGCTAAAGCCCGGTCCGTGAGCACGTAGAATTTTGTCTAATGACCCTTAGCTACCCATCTTTATCGCTCGCGCGTAATTATATTGCTGTCGCGACTGTGCGACTGGCACCCGCAGTGAGTGTGCGAGCGCGATAGCAACATAATTACGCGCGAGCAATAAGGATGGGTAGCTTGGGGTCATTGGATAACATTCTACGTGCTCACATACCGGGCTTTAGTATCTATCAGGGCGACAAATTATGGCCGCCACTCTTACAAGCACACAAGTCAGCTGCTAATGTGTAAAAACAAAGCGACTAACCTGGCTTCCCGAGTGATGTTCGTTTCTGGGCATATCGCGGAGACACGCGCCACGCCCCCGTTTCATATCTATTCGTTACATTCCCTCTAATATGGTCGAGTGAAGCGATGGCTGGTTCACTCGTCATGTCTGTGAACAGGCGCTGCTTTCGGGGACTGGTCNCTATAAAATAATCGGACCTTAGTCGTCGAATATAACACCCGCTCGGAAAGGAAGCAATTCCACCTCCGGAAGCTCCTTATATGGTGGTTGGTGGCAGTGGGAGGGGCACATAGCTCGTAGAGCTCATGACCCCTAGGGCAAAAAGTTCCCGAGTGGGCGACCACGAGCCAGCAGAAGCCGTAGTGTGGACAGCCTCCACTAAGGTGGACCAACGATTTGGTGAAGGTCACGGGAAGTACCTAGATGCGGGCGGCGCACGACCAGTCGCTATGGAAATCCTTTGTAGGGGACCTTTGTCCAGCAGTGGACGTCATTTGGCTAAAACAAGTACCTGGGACCACTGACGCGACGGGTCGACGGTCGCATGGTTGTCCCAAGTAATCTTGCTTCACTGCAAGATCCTCTCCCATTCTTTCTAGGTAGTGATAAATTAATTAATTTGCTATATTTCCTATTTTCACAGTAAATGAGCAACCAGCGCGTCCTACTGGCACAGTCGTGGGCCGCAAGCGCAAACCAGAGGCCGAAGACAGCATTGAAATCGCATCCGAGGCTGGGGAACTGCTTGGTTCTGCGCACAGCAAGCGTATGAGACTACTGGAGAGACTCACGCACTCCTTCCGTAGGACTACTAGCACGCCGCTACCCGCCAGACGGGCGGCTGAGGTGAGAACTACTACTAAAGTCCGGTCGCCGAGTACATAGGATTTCGTCCAATGACCCCAATTTATCCATCCTTATCGCAACTGTGCAACGGACGGCCACTGTGAGTGTGTGAGCGCAACAGCAACATAATTACTCGTGAGCGATAAGGATGGGTAGCTTGGGGTCATTGGACGAATTCTATCTGTTCGGCAACCGGACTTTACCAAATAGACGACAGCGTAGCAAGACAACAGAGTTGCGAACTGTTTATAATAGATACGAAGTGAGACAGCCCAGCGGAGAAAGGGGTAAGGCTGCCTCGTCTCCAAAGTAGAGCGAGACAGCGTAGTGCAGCTCATCGTACTGTCTCTCTCTTCTCCGCATACTTTCTCGGTCCGCTCCGCTACGTAACTCCTATTTAGCATCTACCTATGGATAGACAGTCAGCATCGAGCTCGCCTCCGAGGCTGGCGTACTGCTTGGTTCTGCGCACAGCAAGCGGATGCGACTGCTGGAGAGACTTACACACTCCTTCCGTAGGACTACTAGCACGCCGCTACCCGCCAGACGGGCTGCAGAGGTAACCAATTAAATCATTGACCATCGCCGTAAGGTAGCATCCCTATCGGTTTTCTACAGGCTACACTTCGGAGAATGTGCGAAAGAATTACACAAACTAATTCCAGCAGCCCCCTTCCATCATCGGGGAACCATTTTTTACATCCAGCTCGCACTAAGCGTTTCGATGACTCTTTTATAATGCGAACAGCTAGGGACTGAAATTCGCTGCCTGCTTCTGTCTTTCCCGAAGACTATAATCCGGGCATTTTCAAGGCGAGAGTGAATAGGCACTTACAGGGCAGATATGTACCATCCTAGACTGCATCCCACTTAACATCAGGTGCGATTGTGGTCAAATAACTGCCTTGTTATGCATAGAAAAAATCAAATATTTTATTCAGTACCTAGGTCCTTTCCAGGGCGCTTATACACATCCCAATACAGCTTGTCCCACCACTACTTCGGGACAACATTATGGGCTGGTGCTGAGAAGTGGCGGAAGAAACTCAGTCACCTTTGTCAGCTTCTTTTCATCCGACTTCAAAAAAAGGAGGAGGTTCTCAATTCGACCCGTATGTTGTTTTTTTTTTCTATGTTTGTTACGCGATAACTCCGCCAATTATGAACCGATTTGAACAAATCTTTTTTCGGCGTATAGGTAATACCTCAAGGGTGGTCCCATTTAAATTTAATAATAAAAAAAAAACAACCCCCAAGGGTGGAAAATTGGGGATGAACTTTTTTATACGCAATATCTCCGCCGATTATNATAAAGAAATTTTGACTTTGACTTTGACTTTATGATCTGAGGTTTCCACCCAGCATCGTTCACTGCTGGACAAAAGGCTATCAACGACTGGTTCTGCGTAGCTCGTAACGAGGTGCACTCCGCAATCTTCAGTAGAATGTCGGTTTGATTACACCGGTCAACAAAAAAAAATTTTTTTTTTGCGCATGGATTTTACTTATTATATTCTGATTATATAAGCAAATGTATATAAAAAAGTGCGATTACAAATCGAAAATATTTGCTTTTTAAAAAGTTATAGCGATTTGAATTTTCCATCTTCATAGTAGAATGTCTCTAAAGATGCACGTCACATTCTCATCCCAACTAATATTATAAATGCGAAAGTAACTCTGTCTGTCTGTCTGTCTGTCTGTCTGTTACGCTTTCCCGCTTAAACCTCGCAACCGATTTTGATGAAATTTGGCATAGAGATAGTTTGAGTCCCGGGAAAGAACATAGGATAGTTTTTATCCCGGTTTTTGAAACAGGGACGCGCGCGATAAAGTTTTTCTGTGACAGACAAAATTCCACGCGGGCGAATAATTATGGGTGCTTATTCGCAAGAACAAGAGGCACGCTTTCATCAAAATATAGTGGGATTTGAGAAACGACGTTATTAAGGCCAGTATACTGAAAGCATGATAGGGTTAGATTTTTATGAAAAAAATCTTCTATGGAACATGACAGGAAATTAGAACTTTTTATTTTTAACTAGCTTTCCGCCCGCGGCTTCGCCCGCGTGGTTTGTTATTCCAAGTCTGATTCTTTTTTGTTATACCACGTTTTATAGTGACTGACGTTTCATGTCAAATCACACGGGAATGCTGTCGAACGGGATAAAAAGTATCCTATGTCCTTCTCCTGGCTCTAAACTACCTCCCTGACAATTTTCAGCTAAATCGGTTCAGCCGTTCTTGAGTTATAAGCGATGTAACTAACACAACTTTCTTTTATATATATAGATAAATATTTGGACTCTATTTTAATTTTTCTCTTGTGACAATGAATCTTAAATGGATGTTTGTTATGTTTTAATAATTAGAAAGAATGAAAGAAAGAAAGAAAAAAAAATATTTGGCAATAAATTAAAATCATCTCTATGTTCATGTTTCATACATTCATTGATATGAATTTTTCTATTTTTTACACATAAAAGCAAATTCAGAACAATTTTTTGTTGTTATTCTTGTTTCTAGGTTATAAAGCAATAAAAATAAGCTATGCATAACCCGTGCGCAAAAATACTGTAGACAGTTGTTATAAATATTATTCAACCGGCTATTAAGCAGTATTCCCTTAGTTACCTAGCATATATCTTCCACAAGCGGATACTGCCCTCTAGTTCCTTCTGGAAGACATTAGGAAGAAACGGGTTGCTTAGTGGTGAATATCGCTACTTTTTTCCGATATCCACCAGTGGGTAACAATGGGAATAGAACGTCTTAATATATGATTAATGTTACCTCGTTTTTCTACATACAACATAGGTCTCTTGACTTCCAAATTGGCCGTCTAAATCACCAGGATGATGATGATGAATATATTTTTCCTATTTTCACAGTAAACGAGCAACCAGCGCGCCCTACCGGCACAGTCGTGGGCCGCAAGCGCAAGCCAGAGGCCGAAGACAGCATTGAAATCGCCTCCGAGGCTGGAGAACTGCTTGGTTCTGCGCACAGCAAACGTATGCGACTGCTGGAGAGACTTACGCACTCCTTCCGTAGGACTACTAGCACGCCGCTACCGGCGAGGCGAGCTGCAGAGGTGAGAACTACTACTAAAGTCCGGTCGCCGAGTACATAGGATTTCGTCCAATGACCCCAATTTATCCATCCTTATCGCAACTGTGCAACGGACGGCCACTGTGAGTGTGTGAGCGCGACAGCAACATAATTACTCGTGAGCGATAAGGATGGGTAGTTTGAGGTCATTGGACGAATTCTATCTGTTCGGCAACCGGACTTTACTAAATAGACGACAGCGTAGCAAGACAACAGAGTTGCGAACTGTTTATAATAGATACGAAGTGAGACAGCACAGCGGAGAAAGGGGTAAGGCTACCTCGTCCCCAAAGTAGAGCGAGACAGCGTAGTGCAGCTTTTTATACTGTCTCTTTCTTCTCCACATACTATTTTTTTTCCGCTCCTCCTATTGTCTCTCTTGGCTCCACAACTGTCTTTCTCCATTCCACGTATTTCCTTGGTACGCTCCGCTATCTAGCTCTGCAGCTATGGTTAGACAGCATCGAGCTCGCCTCCGAGGCTGGAGAACTGCTTGGTTCTGCGCATAGCAAACGGATGAGACTGCTGGAGCACGCCGTTACCAGCAAGACGGGCTGCTGAGGTTGATGCCACTGATAGGTCAATAGATTAAAATGCTGGGGAGCTACTTGTCCAACAATGTGATACGGAGTACGGAGCGAAATGAGGTAGCGAAGCGAAAAAAAAAAATAGAGAGGCACCCTGTCATTCGGAGCGGATCTCTACGCCCCACATACTTTCTTTCGCTACACATGAGAAAATTTGACGAGACTTGTAGAATGAGCATCTGTGAAGCCAGTGAACACTATAATCAAAGTCAAAGTCAAATGTCACTTGCATGGACTATTTAAATAGTACTTACAAATCGTCAAATATTTTGCTCTTAAAAGCCTCTTTATGTTTCATAATCTTTTTACCCTATCAGCGCTTCGAGACTAACATTAATTTGGCAAGTGCTGAGAAGAAGCGTTGCAACAAACTCAGTCTGTCGGTTAATATAAATAAATAGAAATAGATGTAAAGCCCGTTCTGTGAGCACGTAGAATTTTGTCCAATGACTCCAAGCTACCCATCCTTATCGCTCGCGCGTAATTATATTGCTGTCGCGACTGTGCGACGCGCGCCCGCAGTGAGTGTGCGAATTCTACGTGCTCACAGACCAGACTATAGTAGGTACATTATTGATTCAGAAGTTCTCTGAATTTACCATGCATTAACTAACCCTATCTCAAAATATTTATTTTTCTTGACTGATATTTTAATTACATTACCACCAATCTGACCACCTGACCTCTTTCCAGATCGTAGGCATCAACACAGACTTACCCCTAACGGCGCCCGTAGCGTCTCCCGCTACCTTCGACCCCGAAGCCCTTAAACCGGCGCCCGAAGACCACGCCCCCGGCCCCGCCCCTATTGCCGTCCCGCTCCCACACGCCGAGCCCGAGCGAGACAACAAGAGGTGCGTCGTCATGTAAGGTGAGGCTCAATAATCAATATGGAAATGAAGTAACGTGTAATAACAAATTTTGATTATGTCATTGATGTCAGTAGATTTGTGTGACGTGCGGGCCAGACACGTGACCTTGTCACGAGTGTAATATTTGAACCCAATGGTTTTGAAACTTTACTGGAAATGAACTGCGTCATTTTAAATGACAGGCAACTTAAAATTTAAAGATATTTGAGTTTTTTTAAATACCACGGCTTTTTCAATGTTTCTGTCCAAGGCATTTTTGTCCAAAGACTATTGGATTGTTTAATGGTTAAACCAATATCGGTATAACAGTAATCGGTATAAAAACGTTACTCGTTATTATAAGAAACTTAGTGTGAAATGTTTAATTTGAAGAAATAGGTATGAATTTGGATTTATAGAATTGAAAAATGCAAATGGATGTAATATAGTTCAAATAGGCTATACATACATAGATGATAAATACAGGTTATAAGGGTGGTTAACTCGACGAGCGAATGTAATATTTTCTATTAGGTTATTTCGAATAGGTCTTTAGAATCTTTAAATAATACTACTTTGAAAACTACGTCGGATCCTATCAAGTTTGAAATATGGACCGAAGTCGCTTAATTTTTCTACTTATAAATAATTCGACCCTATAACTTTTGATTTCTCACCTTTAAAATGAACTTTATGTATCAAAATTATTATTCGTTTAATTTGGGAGGTTGTGATCTAAGAAAAAGGTTTGATTTATATTTTAGTTTAATTCGCTCGTCCTGATAACAGTGTAATGCATTTGCATCGTCTTTTACTGTGCATTTTGTACATACGTAGACATAGTTGTTAAACACATTGAGTAAAATCTACATTTTTTCAATCATTCTCCCAAAGTTTTGTTTTTATTTTTCATCGAATCATATCGAATATTGTCTTCATTTGAAATCACGTGTTAAAAGTATTATTTGGTTATTCGATAGATTTTACTTTATGAGTTTAAGGGCCGATTTTTCAATCATTGAATAACTTGACAAATAACTAACTAGCGAATAAAAATATCTGACTGTTTATCGGACGAATAACATTAGTTGTATTTNTCAAAGTGTGCGTCACGTCACGCGGCCATTGATTGGCCATTGATTGGCCATAAGGCACGCCTTCTGGCCAATCACAGCACTTTTAAGCCGGTTGCACATGTTGTCGTAGACTCTCAGTCGCTTTGTTTTTACACAGTTGAATGTGTGTGTGGGAGCTGTGGTGGGGGAAATGTGGGGACACTGGTTCTCGTTGTAGTTACGCGCGACTTCATATCTATTCTCTTTCTATGATCTGAGGNGGTGGAAAATTGGGGATGAACTTTTTTATACGCAATATCTCCGCCGATTATAAACCAATTTGAACGATTATTTTTTTGTTGAATAGGTATTATCAAAAGGGTGGTTTCATGCGAATTTGAAGAAAATATTTCACCCTCAAGGGTGGAAAATTGGGGATGAACTTTTTTATACGCAATATCTCCGCCGATTATGAACCAATTTGAAAGATTATTTTTTTGTTGAATAGGTATTATTTGTGCTCACGCATTTGAAGTCGGTTTTTTTTAAGTTATTCCAATTAGATTCAGCAAATACTTACATTAAACAAGATATCTAATAAGTGCGAGCTAGTCCAATATTGGAACAATAAAGCAGTTCTAACTAGCATTTGAAGCTTGAAATTAGATAAGGTCAAATGCCGCAAAGCAATGGAGCGATGCGAAGTACTTAGTACTTTCCGTTATAGTTGTCTCAGGGAACGGATAAGAGTATTTGCAAATAGTTTAGGACATCTCTTAAATCAATTTTGGATTAAATTAAATGACTTTTATACGTATTGACAATTTGACATTATTTTATTGTTTCTATTTTGACTTTATTGAACTGATTATTAACTTACTACTTTATTATGACATTATTTTCATAATTTACTTGTAATTTGAAATGTAATTGTTCTGTTGACATTCGGTAATTTGATTTAAATCTATTGTTTTATTTAATTGACTTAATTATATTTATATTGACATTGAATTAACTATTATTATATTGACATGCATGATGATAACCTATGTACAATTAGTCTTATAAGCGCTTTGGAATATATTCTGTTAGCTTGTAAGATGATTGAATAATCTATATATATAAAAATGAAACCCGTTTCGCGTTGTTACGGCATCACGTGTGAACGGCTGAACCGATTTCGATAATTCTTTTTTTTAAATGTTTGTGGAAGTCCAAGGATGGTTCTTACGGAAAAAAATATTAAGAAAATCTCTACGCTAAGGCGGTACGAAGTTCGCCGGGTCAGCTAGTAATAAATAAATAAATAAATAAAAGAGTAAGGCTGCCCGTCTAATTAAGCGGTACTCTCCGCTCCGCATACTTTCTCGCTCCCCTCTGCATACTTTTTCGCTCCGCCCCACACTTGAGAAAAACTCGACTCTTTTTTGGGACTGCATTTGAAGTATCATAATGAACTGGTGAACACTATACAGGGTGTTAGGTAAATGGGTATATGAGCCGACACTAGCACTAGACTTCACCATACCATTTATATGATCATGTTAACATGGGCTAGTGTCGGCTCATATACCCATTTACCTAACACCCTGTATAATCGAATAAATTATAATTTATCAAGTAGGTCCCTCTCTAAAGACCATCACCTAAGCATTGTATCTTTACTCTTACTTTAAGTCTATCCATTTAACGTATCCACCAATCTCACCACCTCCATTCTTTCCAGATCGTAGGCATCAACACAGACTTACCGCTAACGGCGCCCGTAGCGTCTCCCGCTACCTTCGACCCCGAAGCCCTTAAACCGGCGCCCGAAGACCACGCCCCCGGCCCCGCCCCTATTGCCGTCCCACTCCCACACGCCGAGCCCGAGCGAGACAACAAGAGGTGCGTCGTCATGTAAGGTGAGGCTCAAGAATTAAAATGAAGTAACGTTTATTGTAACAAATTATTATGTCACGATTGTGTCATTGATGTCAGTAGATTTGTGTGACGTATACGTGCGTGACCTTGTCACGAGTGTAATATTTGAACCAAATGGTTTTGAAACTTTACTGGAAATGAACTGCGTCATTTTAAATGACAATTAATTTAATTGAGTTTTTTTTAAATACCACGGCTTTTTCAATGTTTCTGTCTTAGGCATTTTTGTCCAAAGACTATTGGATTGTTTAATGGTTAAAACCAATATCGGTATAACAGTAATCGGTACAAAAACGTTACTCGTTATTATAAGAAACTTAGTGTGAAATGTTTAATTTGAAGAAATAGGTATGAATTTGGATTTATAGAATTGAAAAATGCAAATGGATGTAATATAGTTCAAATAGGCTATACATAGAAGTTAAATACAGGTTATAAGGGTGGTTAACTCGACGGGCGAATTATTTTTCTATTAGTTAGTAGATGTTATTTTGAATAGGCCTTTAGAATCTTTAAAAATACTACGGAGCCTATCAAGTTTGCAATATGAACCTAAGTCGCTTAATTTTTCTACTTATAAATAATTCGACCCTATAACTTTTGATTTCTCACCTTTAAAATTAACTTTATGTATCAAAATTATTATTCGTTTAATTTGGGAGGTTGTGATCTAAGAAAAAAATATGATTTATATGTTAGTTTAATTCGCTCGTCCTGATAACAGTGTAATGCATTTGCATCGTCTTTTACTGTGCATTTTGTACATACGTAGACATAGTTGTTAAACACATTGAGTAAAATCTACATTTTTTCAATCATTCTCCCAAAGTTTTGTTTTTATTTTTCATCGAATCATATCGAATATTGTCTTCGTTTGAAATCACGTGTTAAAAGTATTATTTGGTTATTCGATAGATTTTACTTTATGAGTTTAAGTTAGTGTTAGTTTCGGTTAAACAATAGTTTAAACATTATTTGCGGTTCCCAATAACCTTGCAGTCTGCAATCCGAATTAAACAGCGGCTATCACAAAGCCATATAAGAAAATACAATAGATAAATAAATATTCACTTACGATTCTTAAACATAATTCTTACAAAAGTGGAATTTATTTTTGACCAAGTTTCGTAAACTTGTTACTTCAACTGTTTAGAAACTTCATAAAGTATTGATGGTTCTTATTTTTAGTGTACTCAACAAATAAAATTAAACTGACTTCATTGATCCTAGTAAACTATTGTCTATGTATTTGTATCGTTCGTTTATTCATTTCAGCCAAATTACGTAAACTGTTGGACAAAGAAAGGTCTTGTGGAATTTTAATCACTGACAGGTATTGTGAAACTGTTGCAATGTTCAAATTATTGTTTCTCAATCGGCCTGTACGCTGTACAGCGCTGTTTTAACCCACGACCGTTTTTTATTTTATCAGATGACTTAATAAACATGTTTTGTATTTGTGTATGAAAAAATATTTATATTCTGAAGGCTTACTCCATCCAATTTGGATGCACAGACAGCGGTATATCAAGCATTTTTATTTCCAGTGAGGTTTTAAAAGGTACGATTGCAACAATATTGTTCTGTATAACCCCATCAAGCAAACTGCGCACCTCGCTTGAATGCGAATCTCATCTACACACCTCCCTGCGTTCGCCCTGTCTGTACCAGTGTCACGGTAATACTATCTATACAGTATTCCAACTCGGCCATATTTTTGAAATAAATGTCAACAGCCGCGCGGTACGTCACGGTATGACAACATGCGATAGGGCTGCCCACCTACAGTACCCATTCTAATTACATCTGCTGTCTACTTAGAATTTCTATCTACTTTTGTGATAGTAATTTTTTTTTTATTTAGACAAACAAAATACTTTGTGAATGGAATAGGATAAAAATGCGTGTTGTTTTGTGTTAGTAGATTTAATTTAAAAAAATATACTAAAAAAATTTTGAATCTAGTAATCATAATGAGTACTTAATGACCTGTTACTTTAATTTCAGGCGGATGAAGTCGTGGGCAAAAGCTGGTTTAATACAATATAATTTTTATTTCAAATCAAACTGACTGAAAATGACCATTTTTGACTGTTAATAACNAAAGTATAGAAATCATTAGGGCTTAGGTCGGGGCTGAACGGCGGATGGTCTTATAATTCTATGTTTTCTTGCTCTAAAAACTCTTTTGTTCTGTGCGCGGTGTGAGAACTCGCATTGTCGTGA